CCACGGATAGCGACACAGTAGGTGCGCTGTTACTGAACGAGCCTACTTCCCACCACTGGAGAACCACGCAGAGCATGCTTCACATGATGTCAAATAAAGCTCTTTCAACCATCCTTCATATGAAGTCCTAGGTTAAAGGGTCTGACGGTAGGCAAACTGGTTTATTCAATTTTAGCCGGTTGGTAACTGTAGTTGGCGTTGCCACTCTTTTAAGCTCATCTTTCCTGTTAAAAAACAAAATTAATATTTCGTTAATAATTGTGCTGCAGCAATGGCATTTTAGCCTTTCATTTAGTTTTTTCTAAACACACATTTTAAACGTTTTATGGTGATGTATGCCAATATTGGGGTTTTATATCTATTCGTTTGACCTTGTTGCTCCGTCAACCTTGAAACTCGCTTCAAATACACACAGCTCTTGGTGGCACTGAGGTCTTCAGCATGTCATCTGGCGCTGGTTCAGTAAAAGAGGAGTTTGAGGATATACCTGAAGAACCCCAAGTGTGAGTTTGTTTTTTTAAGATATATTTTTAGGGTCAAATCAAAAGTTCAGTACTGGACTCTGGTAAAAGTTTTCACAAGCGCATATTTTAGATGAAATATGCCTCGTTGAAGGAAATATTGATTTTAGCTTGTGGGATTTTAATGAGTTGCGGCGTTGGTTCGGCGATGCCTGTCACATTTTTCATTTTCTCGGATCTCGTCAACGATTTTCTATCGATTTTAATCTCTGGAAATTTTACCTTTCTGGACATCATCCATAAGTTCGCCATTATTGGAGCAGTCACGTTCTTCGTCGGATTTTTACAGATGTTTTGTTTGCAGCTAAATGCAAAGATGCAGTCAAGAAGAATTAGGCTTCTCCTGTACTCGGTACGCTTCAATTTGCACGTGCAATATCTTAGCAAATACTTGCACAAGATGTTGCTTGGTTTGATGAACAAAGCGTTGGAAGTCTTATCACAAAGCTTACTGAAGGTGTTGAAAAAATCGAAACTGGGATTGGAGAAAAATTGGGCATATTTATTCAGTGCATTATAGTTTTTATCAGCGGACTTATTATCGGATTTACGAAGAATTGGAGACTTTCGCTAGTTGCGTGCGCTATATTTCCACCCATTGCAATTGGTTTTGGAATTCTCGGTTATATCGTTCGCAAATATACATCAAGGACACAGAAGGCCTACGAGCGTGCTAATAGTATCGCGAGTGAAGCCTTGGGAGCAATAAGAACAATATTTGCTTTCGAAGGTCAGAAAACTGAACTTAAACGCTACTCCTCTGAGCTGGATGAGGCTGAAAAGTGTGGCATAAAAATGTCACTCAGTGTTAATGGAGGTGAGGCGTCTTGACATCTTACTGCTAAGTTCCAGTCTAGACTCTTGAGCGTTTTGTGTTTTTTTTTCAATATTGGGTCTTTCACGATCGAAAGCTTTTACTATACTCAAATAGTTTAGGATTTAATTTTTATATTAACATGTATCTTTTTTGAATTCTCATCCAGTTCTCGGAATGTCTGAGGCATTCATCTATATTTTAATATCCGTAACGTTCTACTATGGCATGGTGCTCCTAACAAACGGAGACTCAAATCCTGGCGACATCATTATGTTAAGTCTTACTCAATAAATCGCCTCTAACAAACCGCCTTAAGGCATAATCTTGCTGATGGCTCGCTCACGTTCACGGGAGCTAAACAATGTCACATCTTATCTCGGAGGCCTCTTTTTTTACTGTTGTAACTATTTGTGCAGGTGGTGTTCACTATGCTGACCGGTGCAATCACAATTGGACAGGCTCTCTCCCAACTGGATTCTTTCAACATTGCAATGACATCAGCCAGTGAAATATTTCCTATCATTGATCGCGTAAGTTCTCCACTTAGGATGGCACATCGTCCCCTACAGGTACCACCCATCGGAAAGCATGAAGGCGGTACAGTTTTGCCTCAATTCAGAGGCGATATTCAATTCAGGGACGTTCATTTCTCCTACCCTACAAGAAAATCCGTCAAAGTGAGTGCATTTAAACCAGGCAGTTTATACTTTGCTTGTCCTAGGTGTTGAACGGCTTTTCAGTGGACATCGTGGCAGGTCAAACTGTTGCAATTGTCGGGGCCAGTGGTTCAGGCAAAAGTACTGTCATTCAACTGATTCAACGCTTTTACGATGCAAATGAAGGACAGGTACAAAAAGGGTGACTTTCTGACTTTCTGTTACAGCTTCTTTTGCTCTTGTAGAATTGTAAGCATGTTTTAGGTCCTCATCGACGGAGTGGACATTCGAGATTTGGATCTGGCCTGGTTTCGCAGTCAGCTTGGTGTGGTTTCGCAGGAGCCCGTACTCTTTGCTGGCACAGTGTCCGAAAACATTAGACTTGGTTGTCTCACCGCTACCAATGAGGAGGTCGAGGAAGCCGCGAAGATGGCGCTTGTTCATGAGTTTGTCTCCAAACTGCCAGACGTAAGACGATTTTGTATTGTCTGCCAATTGGGTCGTTTTAAATCTAACAATGCCGCATTGTGTTGTATGAAGGGTTACGACACTTTCATCGCCGAAGGCGGTGGCGCAATGTCTGGAGGTCAAAAACAACGACTGGCGATTGCACGTGCATTGATTCGCAAACCACGCATCCTCCTCCTGGACGAGGCGACCTCCGCTCTGGATACACGCTCTGAAAAGTACGTCCAACGGGCTTTGGACAACGCCAAAATCGGTCGCACTGTTGTCATGGTAGCACATCGTCTCTCCACGGTTCGAGATGCTGACACTATCATTGTTGTCAACAAGGGCTGTGTTGTTGAGGTGGGAAATCACGATCAACTCATGGCTCTCAAGGATGGAGTTTATGCCAAGTTGGTGAAAATCAGTGTGCGCCTCTCTTCTTCCTCCCCTCTTAGAGAGACCTCCTCCAGAGAACTTGACAAGCAGGGGTTTTTTTTCTCTTCAGGCTGCTGAGAAGGCGCCACAATATGCTTTTGAGGAGAGTGAAGAGGAGGATGACGATTTTGTTGTCAACGCGATGGTCTCAAAGGATAAGGTATGTCACTTCTGCCATGAAATCGCTTTAAGTTGCCCTTTAATCCGTGACGCCTTAACTGACTTTTTACCTCTGTTTTAATGTTTGCTTGTAGAACAATGGACAAGTGAACGCTCTCACAAAAACCTCGGTTCGTCACTGTCAGTATTCAAAAAATGAAGAGAAAATCCTCCAAAATGTTGATATCTTAATCGTTTTTTTTTTGGTTTGGCGAATAGACTTCTCTGAGGCCTTATTCTCACG